TGGCTGCTCAGGTATATGCTTAAATGCTGGTAATATAGCAAAATACCTTCTTAAGACATAACCAAGAAAATAAGACAGCATGTTAAGTGTTGAAATAACTATTGCTTTTCGAATTTACCAAGTTTTACTTAAAATTTACTATCAAGATAGATTTTTCGAATTTAAGTTTTGTTTCGAGATTACCAGTAAATCAGTAATATGGCAAAAGACCTTGCCTTCCTTGAAATTTACATTTGCCCTGTGACCCAAAGGCACTCGTGGCAATATGGCCGAGTGGTTAATGTGCCAAGCTCCCATTCTGCACTGTCACGGTTCAACTTCCGCTGGGGGTGTTGAAAAGATCGATGCGAGGTCGAAACTGCAGTCCATCCTGGATGAGAAAACTTTTGAGAAAGCAAGGCAATGTGTAAATTAATGGAAACGTCAGCTCTACTCATATCATTGTGGGAAATTTCTTATACCAGTCCTTTATCACCTTAAAAGAAATTGGGTGAAACATCTCATATCAAAATAGAGTCCTTAATTAATAGTCTAAACTCCTACCGCTATTTTTTTCAAATAATTTATATATTATTTAAGCCAAAGAAAACATTAAAAATATGTGATTTAAAAACTTTTCCCTGACAGCCTGATTCATTATTATATCTATATTTGGGAATTCCTTTACATCCAATTACAGATTCGGACCATTAAATTGTCCTATTTATTTGTACTGTTCGTTTCCGCATTTCATTAAATTCTTGATTTTTTTAACACTTGATAAAATTGGCTATTCAAATCGAAAATTCTATGTTTTTTCTTTGCTCCAAAGAATTAATTGAAATGTCTTCAATATATCCCAGGAAAGCTACGAATCCATTATCTAATGATCATGTATTTAGACGGGCAAGACTTTTTGAACCAACACTCGATGTAACGCATTCAGACATAACCGTCGATGGGGAAGCCAAACTATCCCTACCCTCTCTTTTATTCGAAGATGAATCAGAATGGCCCATATCGCCGATCGGTTCCATCTGCAAACTAGCATCTGATCGGGAGTGTATTTCTTCTCATTCTCGTTCAAATGACTTATTGGCCAGTGAAATTCCTCACTTTTGCTGTGATTCGGTAAGCCTATATGAGCTGCCACTTTACTGTCTACTTAACTAGTTATTAATAAAGTTATGAAGTAGTGTAGATTCATTCATCATTTTGAACTCAAATATTCTTCCTCCCAAATTTTTTAATTTAATTATAATTTTTTCTACATTCATTGTCGAATATTTCCGTCGATAATTCTTTAATTAACTTATTGTGTTCGTTTTACTTTTAACAAAATTTATAGAATCAATTTAATACAACTTCCAACTTTTCGAGATCGTTTGTAAGAAAGAAATTACCATGGAAAAAACCGACTGATCCTATAATTTTCCCCTTAAGTAAGTATATATATCTGATAATTTTCCCCTACACTTTGCCTCTGTTTTTTAAAGTCCTTTTTCCAACCATTACTCAGGCGCCTCAGAACTGGACCCCAATCCAACGCCTGGAGTTAGAAGATCCAAGAGACCTCGACCATGTGTTCATCCTGGACTTGTTAATCTCTACGAGGATCGATTCGATCCTGAGACCAAATTTTGGTACCGAGGCATCTATGCTCGTGCATTATTTCCTAGTCCCCGAGAGATTAAACGTCGACAACGGTTGTATAATCGCATACAAGCAGGTGTCTATTCTAATTTTAATTATACTCTATGCTTTTTACTTGTCGAGCTGAAAATGGCGCAAGCCTCATATGTCATCGTTTATGGAACCACAATTCTTATGATTTATTTTGTATGGTAGGACATCATGTTCACAAACTGTCTTCCAGGACACGTAAG